CCCGACGGGTTCCCCCACCGACCCAGTGACACACCGAGCAACTATTTATTAGTTGCAATACCTTTCTCTTTTTTGATTCTTCCTCCACTCCGAGTCAGCCCGCGCTTTTTCGAAGAATCCTGCACCCATGGGCATACGGCCTGGCAGGCTCGAACCTACCACGACCACCATCCGCGGCCTATTTTCGTTCTCTTCCCCGCCAAGCCTCTGAAACCGGACTCTTTCTTCCCTCTCGATTCCATCCATATCCCGCCTTCAATCAGAATGATCTGGAATTCCTTTCCAATTGGAAATTTTGAACGTCCACTTTGATCCCACGATCTCCTTTTTATTAAAGCCCTTCTCAATTAGAAATAAGGTAATAATTTCCAGGATCTGCCGGCGGTATTTGATTGATCTCGTGCGGTACGAATGACTTTCTTAAATTCTACCCCGWAGAATACATTCTAGTAACTTCGAACTTTATTGAATCAACTGTCTTGAATGCAAAGCCCCTACGTACGGCTCTGTGAGAAGGGCGGTGGACAGAAATGGCCTTGTTGTACCTCACTCTCGTCTTCAATGGGGTCTGCCTGATCACCTCTAATGCGGATTCTTTCCGCCCCGGGTATATGGGTCTCCCAGAACTGGCCTTAGATGGGGAAGATTCATTCATCGCTGTGGAATTTGATACCAGTTTCGACCCTTCGCTTGTTGACAGGTTATACTGGAAAAAACTGAAAGGATAATGGACAGAACTATACCAGGGGCACAATTAGTTCAAATTCTTTCAGAAGGGAATGCTTTGGAATATTCCATTCTTGTAGCAGCCACCGCTTCGGATCCTGCTCCTCTTCAATTTCTGGCCCCATATTCTGGGTGTGCCATGGGGGAATATTTCCGCGATAATAGATGTGTATAAGAGACAGCGGGGAATATTTCCGCTCGGCGGCCGACGACTAGAATTTCTCAATCTCGTCTCTTATCAGGTTTAGGTAAATATCTAATGCGCTCCCCGTCGATTCGGAACTCTTAGTCGAGCTGATGGCGAGATCTATTTTTTGTTCGAGGTGAAAGAGAAAAAGAGAGGAACCACCGCCCAATGGTGCTTTTACGAAAGAGCTTAACTAATAGGGCCTTTTTCTAGATGTTGACACGAGTAGAGGCTATTGCTCTTCCATACCTATCTCCGGGGCTCAATGAGTGTGCACCTTTGGATCGATCCTCGGCAGTGATCGGGAAATCCAAAATAAAAAAACCATTGATTTATTTCCAACACTCCGGATAGTCATTTTCGATCTTAGGCGAACGAAGGTTACCGCGGAATCGAATGATTACGATCTCGACAGTGCTGCTTTCTTTTATTACAACTTGGATACAGCTTTGGAGGCGCCCGGTTGATTGATCTCTGGAGACTCCGCTTTCACGGCTCAGGGGGACCAGAAAACGCCTTTCGTTAGGGACAAAAAAGTCAAAGGATGGACGACTCTTAAATAATAAAATAAAAATAAAAATATATAAACTACTAGTTAAATTGAGTTGTCAGCCATTATTCAATTGATTATTAAAGTATTATTGACCTCTGTAAAATTTATTATATTTTTATTTAACTTTTTCCTGAATATTTTTAATCAAATGATATATTGTTGAATTATTAATGCATTACGCTAATAATCTATTTTAATCTTACCCGCTACATAATATTACTAATTACAAATTTGGTACATAGACTTTTAAAAATCGAATCTCTATACTTTAAATAATATCGTAAATATTGGATCATAAATTTAATATCAGAGGGCTAAACGAAACTCACCAGAGCAAAATTGAGCTTTCAAATAACTCTCTCCCACTTCTCTCACTCTCTCCCACTGTGCTCACAATTTACACTGTTCAATAATGTCATACCAAACATTATAGCTTGGCTATCAAAATATAACGCTGAAATTTCTAATAAATTTTCGAACTTTTACACTTATTCTATTTCATTAATTTCATTGATTTAACACTTTCGTGAGAAATTGACTATATTATTTAGTGATTGCATCGAAAACCGACCTACCACATGATGCTTAAATAATACACTATTAATGTATCATATAAGTGTTAAATTAATGAGAGAAAATATTCTATACCCATCTCTTATCTTAAAAAAAAACATAAATTAAATTCGAGTTAAATAATACATTATCAACCTAAATTGTTGATGCCAATTTTTGAGTGCACTCCACATAAGTGTCACGCTCCAAGTTCTTGTTACATGCACACAAAAATCTAACATTGGTATGACGCTCTATCAAATACACTCTGATCTTTTAAGTTAAAACTCTAGAGCAAGAAGGCAGCAATATGAGGGAAGAGTCTATATGAGATTGTGTGTCAAATTCCTATAAGAAATTTTGTGGGGAAATATGACTTACCTCTATTAGAGTTGCTCTTCTCCTTAAATACGGAGAGAGAGAGAGGTTTTCCAGGTGTGAGACAGACACGTGGGGTGGTATGTCGCGCTTGGGGTTCGTAGAGAACATTGACATCCTCTTTTCCCCTCTATGCCGTGGATGGAGAGCATGGTGACGTCCTAGATGATCCTCTAGGACATATTGCAGTTTGGGTACTGGGTATTGACACTCTGCCTACTGGACGTGCTCTTGTAGTCCAAGTACGTTCAAGATTGGACTCAACGCGTTCAATGTCTAAATGATTTTCTTTTTTGACTCGATCCACGTGGTTGGACAGACTTTCAACACGTGGCATCTCCTAGATTTTGCCAGATAACAAGTATAAAGAAAAGAAAGTTGTGAGGGCTCATTTCCAATTCTTGAAAAAGAGAGGGAGAGTTGACTAAATTGACAATAATAGAATTACAGAAGTTTAACCAACGAGAAAGGAGAGTGTTCAATTGTTCATACATAAAACTAGGTCAACGGTTTTGCTTCTTCCCATCTTTGATTTCTTTTTTCTTTTTGAAAATTTCTCTCGCTAAACCCCGAGGAAGAAGGGATTCTCCTCACTTTCAAATGGCTACCGCATCTTCCAATTTCTCCCACTCTACTCCACCAAAAATCCCATTTATTTCGCAACCCATAGCTCCATTATTAGAATTTTGGAAGTTCATCTTCAAAATTTATGTTTCAGAGTTAATTTCATGGAGCCCTCTTTTCAGATGAAGCTAATTTTCGCGTTTCTTATCTATCTGTGTCTGGTTACACAGTTCTCTCTAGCCACTCCAGTCCAACTCTGCGGTTCGTGGTCTCTGATCTCAATGCTTTTGCTCAATTTATAATTTCTATCTACTCTGATCATATCCGAGAATTTTTGTTTTCCTTTCTGAATTTTAGTTTTGTGTTCAATTTATTGGTCTTGGACTGTGTTTTTATCCCTGTGGTACTGAAATGATCATTCTTTTTTTCCATCGATTTTTGTATGTTGGAACATTTCTGGTACTGTTAAGGAACTGATGGAACTGATATAGAACCCATTATACTACTTCAGAATATAGTGATGAATCTGATGGTGGTTGTATGAGATAATTAGATTGTAAATGAGAACTGAATAGCATATGGAAGTTTGCAATTTTTTTAGGTTGAATTACATATTGGATACTGTGGTTTGAGCCTAATTTTAATTTGGTCCATATAGCTAAACCTTCTAAGACTATAGTGACTAAATTGAAAGCCCGAATATAGAGACCAAATTGGAACTTTTAGAACTATAGGGACTAAATTATAACTCGTCGCACTATACTTTGGTTTATCTACCTTGCTAATCTCTAGCCAGAGCTAACTTCCACAATCTCCCTAAGCTAACTTCCAGAGCTAACAAGGATTTGATAAATTTTCTACCTAGGGCTTGAACCAAGGAGCCTTTACCAGGGGCACCCCTTCGGCTTCGGACCTATGGAAATTTGCCTTATATTCTCTTATTTGAATCAACTTTGCTGTAATGGAGTGGAATTTTGTATTAATGTTCATACACTTGATATATATATAATTAACTGATGCAGATGAGACAGCTACGTATGATATCATGGTGAAAGGAGTAGAGATATCTCCCAGCCCCATAGTTCGTGGCCACCCAACAAATATGACCTTCAATCTAATTATAGGTACACTTATAAATATCCCACTTGGCCATGGCCTTCCTCATCGTCTTTAATTTTTTTCTTTTGAAACATTCCATTTTTTTTCATAAGTAGGTGCTGAAATTTTACTATGAATCTCTCTTAAAGATTTGATGCGAATTTGTTCATATTTAGATTAAATTTATATACGTATAGAAGGATCTAGTTGACACTTAACATCAGCAAATTCATCTTTTCACTCCATTTTTACGTGTTCTATTTTTTTAGTAAAAATCTGAAATGTTTATTTTTCTTCTAAAAACAAGGTATATTATTCTCACTAACATGGGAGGGAAAAAGAACACAAGTGTCAAAAAAACATTTTAAAGAAAAACAAAAAAACAAAGATACCTGAAAATTCAATAATACAAGCATAGCATCGAATTTTTCCTAGTAACAGGGCTGACATCTGCTTTAATATTATATTTTCATCAGGACCTACTACCTTTCCCTTTTTCTATGGATAATAATGAGTTCATGAGTTAGATTGAGGTTACCATATACGCTTTGGCTAAAAAGTAAGCTCTAAACTGACTTCTTAATGAGAATCATTTTATTCAAAGAAGCAAATTAAACATTGTTACATAATTCAATCGTGTAGTTAATTTCTAGTATACAGAGTTGAATCTAAAATTGTTGAAATTTGAATTTGCTTAGGACTGTTAACCTTTAGATTTGTCGTATTCTTATGGATAAGCGATATTAGAGAATACTTCCCTATTGCTTCTGTTTTACTTCTCAGTATCAACTGTCCCATCTCGCTCTATTCAACCATTGAGAGAAAAAAGTAGACCCCCTCCCCCTCATGTGTGGTTGGTGAAAACTAACTAGGCATATATTGTCCTTTGAACCTCAGTTCGAACTTTAGTTAATGACAAAAGACCCTATACATGTGGTGCAGGTAAGCCAATCATTGCAGGAAAAATGGTAGTTGATATTTCATATTTCGGATGGCACATATATAGTGACAGCCATGACATTTGTGTCGAAACATCTTGCCCTTATTCGTTTGGTGATTTTGCACTCACCCCGTTGCGAACACCTCTCGCATTCTTTTTTCCTGTAAGTTACTATTCATATCATGCTTACCACTTTTTGTTTATCTTTTTCTTGTAGTTTCTGG